GGGGTGTGCCGAGCCAGCTTTTCCAAGTTATGACCCATTGTTAAACTTTCATTGCAGAGCATTTACATCTTGGATATCAGCAAAAGATACAGATCAAGGCTTGGTTTGTTAATTATTTTTTAATTGTCTAGTCTTAAAGTAATGGAGAAAATGTTAATAGTTCAGATTAAACATAAAAGTATGTCAAATGTACTTTTTTTTTTCCCGGAGAGCCATTTGTTAAAATATTTGCCAGCACACCCTTACAGGTCCCACCTGGACACTCCTTAGAGCCCTGTGGACACAATAGCACACAAAGTGAACTCAGCTCCTGAAGGGCTGTGCAGGAGGCCTGATACCAGCATGATCCTCATCATTTTGGAGGGGCTTGTCAGGGTTAAACCAGGGGTTGGAACCAACTCCCATTTAAGAATTGTGCTAGGAGAAGGAAAAGAGACCAGTTGAGGAGAATTTTAAGAATCACTGGGACTTTTATCAACACACACACACACACACACACACAGAGGAAATTATATGAACGAAACTATAAGCTACTCTTTACAAAAATAAAGACAAATAATTGGAAAGGTGTGAATTGTGCATGATTGGGCTGTGCTAAAAAAAAAGTCTAAATTAATTTACAGATTCAATACCATACCAACTAAACTAACAAAGGGTTACTTTCTAGAACTAGACAAAATTAGAAACTTCATCTGGAGGAACAAAAGGTCAAGAAGTTTATGGATATAATGGGGAAAAATGTAAGGAGGAAGACAGATCTCAAACTGTACCAGAAAATAAGAATCATGACAATAATCTGAAGCATCTGGGTGGTACCACGGGTAGAGTGCTGGACTTTAAACCCGGAATACCTGAGTTTGAATCCTGCTATGTGATCCTAGGCAAGTCCCTTAATTTTTCTTTTCTCAGTTTCCTCATTGGTAAAATGAGGAAAATAGCAGCATTAACTCACAACATAATTGTGAGTATCAAATGAGATACAACACATAAAGACTTTGCAAACCTTTAAGTGCTATATATAGGCTAATGCTATTATTATTTATTACTAGTTAAAAATAGAAAATTTGATTAATGGAACAGATTAGGTTAACAAAGTCCAGAAGGAAATGAACAGATTAGCACAATATTCAAGGAAATAAATGGCTAGAGTTGAGATTCAATATTCAATAGAAACTGCTGGGAAAGTTGAAAAACAGTCTGAGAAAAATTAGACTTAGATCAACAATTCATACTATACATAATAAGCCCCCAAATAGATATATGACCTAGATATAAAAGTCCATCTTGTTTTTAAAAGGAGGAAAATGGAAAGAGATACCTTTCTCATTTACTGATAGAGGGACAGTTCTTGACATAACATGATCACAGGAGGCAAAATCGACAATTTTTATTGCATAAAACTGAAAAGTTTTTGTACAAACAAAATCAGTGCAGTTATAATTGGAAGGGAAAGAATTAATATGAAAATTTTTGCAGGAAATTTCTCTGATAAAAAATATGTAAGAAAAAGAGCCATGTTCCAGGAGATAAATGGTCAAAAATATGGACAGGTAACTTTCAAGGGAAAAAATTCAAGTTATCAGTTACTATATGAAAAAAGAAAAGGACTCCAAATAATGAATAATTAAGGAAATACCAAGTAAACCAACTCTGGTGTCCTGCCTCACATCAATCAGATGGAAAAGTTAACAAAAGAAGAAAATTACCGTTGTCAGAGGGGTTGTAGTAGGCCAGTTACACCAATGTTCCTTTAGTGGAACTTCAAATTGATCCAGCCATTCTGGAAAGCAATTTGGAGTTATGCCCCATCCAATGACTAAATTGTGGATCCCTCTGACCCCTTGATTCAGAGATCAAAGTCAGAGGGAAGGATTCCTATGCACAAAAATGGTTATGGAAGCACATTTCATTGAAGCAAAGAACTGGAAAGATAGTGGGTATCCATCAATTGGGAAATGAGGAAATTGCTGCATAGGAATGTAATGGAATACTATTTAACCATAACAAATGAAGAAAAGGGACAATTCAGAGGAAGCTGGGAGTCAGAGAGGATGCAGTCAGCAGAGGCAGTGGAATTATTTGTACAAGAACCAAAATAATGAAAATGAAAAGAACTTTGAAAGACTTAAAAATTCAGTAATGCAACAACCAATTATGATTCCAGAATACTGCTGATAAAATGTCTCCCATCTCTAAACGGACAGGTAACGGGCTATAGGGACAAAATAAGAAACAGTTTCACATAATATAGATATGACACAAATGTGTTTTTCTTGACTGTATTTAATAGTTATGAAGAAAGGTTTTTTATGGGGAGGGGAGTGGTGACTTGAGCAGAGTCTGGGGGGGGTAGTGATTATGATAAAAAAAAAGAAAAGAAAAGACCATTAAATATTTTTAAATGCACAGAAGAGAGCAGAAGGCAGTTCTGACAGGGAAACAGACAAAAAGGGCAATTTTTGGTACCATAATGCTAAATATACATATGCAGTACAATCATATGTAATTGATTTTCTTATATTCTCTTTTTCATGATTTGGGATTCTTTTTAGGGCTTTTGGATAAAGAAATGTTTATTTTGTTAATTATGTTCTAGTTGCTAATAAAAGAATTAGAGAATCATATGGCTCATTATTTTTGCTGTTACATTTCCTTAGAATGGAACCTCTCCCATATTCAGAAAAACCTATGCCTGGTTCCTTCTGTTCTGTTGCAAATACCTAGTCAAAATAGAGTGCCCACATATATCAATTAACCAGAGATATAGAGATACAACTAATGGGGAAAAAAATCAGCAATTTTCCTGAATGCAGAAGATGTGGGCTTTGTGGTCTAAAGTCACCCTTAGTGAACTAGGAGTTAAGAAACCACTATTTCTGCCCCAAATCTTCTCTTTGGGCGAGTTGGTTCCCTTTCTGGGCCTCAGTTTTTTCCTCAGTAAAATGAGAAGGTTGGACTGATGTTTTCTAACATCTCTTTTTCTTCTAACAATCTCTGGAAACCTCCCATTTTAAAAATGGGCCTGAAATTCTACTTTCCAATTTAATAAGAGGCAGTGAATCGAGCACTAGGCGGAGTCAGGAAGACCAGTTCCAATCAGACCTCAGACTCTTATTAGATTATTATTGTTATTAGATTATTAGAGTCGGGGCAGTCCCTGAGGGCCTCTGGGTGGCACAGTGGATAGAGCACTGGCCCTGAAGTCAGGAGGATCTGAGTTCAAATCCGGCCTCAGATCAAACACTTGACACTAGCTGTATGGCCCTGGGCAAATCATTGCCTTTCAGAAAAAAAGAAAAACAAAGATGTGTGTCCCTGAACAGTTATTTTAACCGCTGCCTGCCTCAGCTTCCTCATCAGCAAAATAGGGATAATAATAGCACCTACCTCCCAGGATTGTTGTCAGGATGAAATGAGATATTTGCAAACCCTAAAGCCCTGTCTATACGTGCTAGCTATTAATAATAGATGAAAAAAGTTGGTCTAAGAATGACAGAAATTTAAGTATTATCTGGGTTTGTCACAAATTGACCATTTTAAGCATAGATCATAGAGGTGGAAGGGCCCTAAGAGGTCATTTACTCCAATCACCTTCCTTCCTCTACAGAGAGGAAGCAGGCAGGGAGAGGTTAATTAATTAGCCACAAATCACACAGGGAGTTAAGTGGCTGGGTAGGAATTCGAAAGTTCCCTTTGACTCCTGATTCAGCGCTGTCCTCTGGAATCCTCCGGCCCCTAACTTTTTGGTTGTTTTTGGTTTGGGTTTTTTCAAGCTATATTTGAAGGTAGGAGACCAGCTTCCTTTGCGCTCTCTCTCTCTCTCTCTCTCTCTCTCTCTCTCTCTCTCTCTCTCTCTCTCTCTCTCTCACACACACACACACACATACACACACACACACACACACACACACACACACACACACACACACATTCTCAGCGCCACCCCGCTCCCTGCCCCGCCCCGATCTTGGGAGATCTAGAGAGAGAGCTCTTCTCCTTAGACAGCAGAGGCAGGTAGGGATGGCGCGCGTGGTCCCCAGTCTGCGGGGGAAGGCAGGGGGTGGGTGGGAGGATGAGGTGGGATGCAGTGGCGCTGGGAGGAGCGGAAGACTGCCTGACTTAGTTCTCTGTCCTGCTTGCATGGAGCCTGTAAGTGGAAGAACCTCTCACCCTTTCAGATAGGCAGCCTCAGTCCTCGCTTCCTTCTCTCCTGCAGATCTCAAGTAGCTGCTCCTCGGCCCCGCTCTCGGTAGCCCCTTGGGCCGCGGGCGCTGCTTCGTCACAGCATCCCCGAATGGTCAAGGAGGGAGCCGGCAGCCTCGGGGAGGGGCAGAGCCTGGCACCCCATCGCCCTCGCAGGCGGTCCCAACCCCTCCTTTTCAGGAGGAAACTTTTCGCACCCAGCCCGTCCCAGGCAGCTGAGGCTCCTCATCTTTGCCCCCTTCACTCCCTGGTGTGACAGCCCATCCCCATCTCTACCGCCAGCGCTGCTGGCCCCGGGGAGCCCATGCAGTCTCTGGGCAGCCCTCAAACCTGGGCTCTGGGAATGGAAGTCGCGCCGCTGAGCGCCCACCTGTTCTTCCTTCCCTGGGCCAGAGTCTGTCCCTAAGAATCCATCGTGTCAATATCGCAGTCAGAAAAAATAAAAAATAAAAAACAAACAAAAAAATATCACAGTCAGACGCTCTCTACCTCAAACATCCAAACGCCGGTACAGACCTAAGTTCAAGTCCAACCCCGCCCCCCAACCCGTCTCCTCCCCAGTCCAAGCACATAGACGCACACACGCCTCAAACATCCAGACGCAAGTACAGACCCAAGTTCAAGTCCAACCCCCCTCTCCCCCTTCCAGGTCCACCCCTCTGTGCACACGCACACCAAGATCCTAGACTCGCAAGGGAAAATAGAGGCTAATTCGTCTGCACCGGCGGAGTTCATTTCACTGCCCCGGAAACCCTAACCCGGGTCTTTCCCCAAAGGGAGAACTTAAGCTAAAGTACCTGTCGCGAAGACGAGCAGGGTGAAGAGAGTGTGGCACACCATGGTACCCCTGAGGCTCTGGCCTGGGCTCGGCTCGGAGCTCCAGCTCCTCCGCCTGCGTGGAGAGAGACCCCCAGCTGCGAGAGGCTGGCCGCGGGAGGCAGGTTCCTTCGCTGGTCCCAAGCGATCTCCTCCGCGTCCCCGGGGCGCTCCGCGCACAGCCCAGAAGGTTCGGGGCTCGGGTCCCGGCAGCGGGTGCACTCAGTGCTCTGCCCTCCGGTGCCCGGCGAGTCTCTGCTCGCATCCCAGCCCAGCACTGCCGCCGCTGCCGCCGCCGCTGCCGCTCTGCTGCAGTGAAACCCCTCCCACTCGCCAGTCCCTCCTGCTGGCCTGGACTGTGATGACAAAGTCAACCCGATCCTCTCTCTCCTCTCCTGGCCCTGCACTCCCGTCCCCTCCCCTCCCGCAGCCGCCTGGGTCCTGGGAGCTCCGGCCCAGGGCGGCCCCTGCTGGACAGTGAGATTGCAAGTCCGTGGCTGGGCTAGGGACTTCTGTCGGTTCCTGCTCTCGCACTGTGCCTTCACATGGTGGGCTTGTCTCATGTGGATGAGACACAGTCGGTATAAATGTTGCATTCCTTTCTGTAGAATCCCTCTCTTGTACACTTTCCTCTTCAGAGTGTCCTAGACCTTTCCATTCACCTAAGTCCCAGGACATCTGCTTGTCTGCCTTTCATTTCACTTTTTTTTTTTCTGGCTCATGTAATGTCAGATGTAGTGTCTTGGGCGCACAGTGCATAGTATCGAACTCAGCTGATCACCTGCTGTACACCAATCCGCCAAGATCGTTGCAGTACTCTATTTATGTCTAATAAATGTTCAAACAAACAGCCAGATGCACTACCAGTCATTACTGTTGCAATGTTTGTTTAGTGAACTGAATGCATTAAAGGCCCTTCCTGAAGGAGGGAGCGAATCACTGTCCAGGGGAAAATGCAATTGCGTTGTGTCAGAGGCTTCTTTCCAATGCAGTCTCCCACCCAGGAGTACGTGGAGAGTTTGGGGAAAGAGAATCTTGAGTCCCATATGTGGGGAAGCTGGTGACGAAAACAGAAGACATCTTGGCAGGTTGAAGATGTTTCTGGAAATAGGATTGTGCTAGAACCTGGCACATTTCCTCTGCTTTTTATTCATTTTAATCCATGTTTTGAGGAGGGGCCCAGGCTGGCCATCTTTCGTTCCCCCGCTGGCTTTGACTTACTGGACTTGGCCACTGTTTTCCAGCGGCTTCAGTACTTGTGATCTCTTCACTCTTGGAATCTCCCTCTACCATGCTGGCTCCATTCTCCTATGGGTGAGGTGGGATGTGGGGAGCTTCATTTTGTGAGTGCCCTAGGCTAGTTGTTCTTCATTCCCCTCCCTGCTTTGTTTCTGGCTTTTCAACTTGGATGCCATGCCCCCTGTGGTGGTACCTACCCCCCAACCCCTTTAAGCTCCCTTTTGTGTGCTTTCTCCCATTAGTGCTAGGCTCTTGAAGGACAGTGGCTGTATTCCCCCCCAAGCCCCCGTATTTGTATCTCCAATATGCAGCACAATGCCTGGCCCTTAGTAAGTACAAATTCTCATAGTCTTGCCTTTAATGTCACCTTCATTTCCCCCCCCAAAAAAAATCCCACTCCTCCCCTATTCAGAGCCATCCTTTATAAAATAAAAGGAAAAAAAACCAAGCAAATCAATAAAACCACTGAGCTCATCACTCAGGTCCATCGACATAAGCCGTGTAGTCCACATCCATAGCCTCTTCTGTAAAGAAAATGGAAAAGTGCAGTCTCATATTTCTTCTTTGGATCAGACTTGGTCATTAACATTATGTAGCATTGGCTTTGATTTTTGTTGCCTTTTTCTGTTTATATCTTTTTTGGTTCTGCTGACTTCACCTCGTATCCATTCCTAAGTCTTCCTGTGTCTCCTTGCCTTCTTCACATTCATCATGTCTTACATCATTTTTATGTACCAGGTTTGTTTAGCCATTCACCCATCAAAGGACACCTACTTTGTTTCCAGTTGCTTCTGTAAAAAGTATTTCTATAATTATTGCAGGACATCTGGGACCTTTCTATCTTGGATCTTCCATGGTCATGTGCAAAGGACTCCTGGACCTTGTCATCTGCCACTGCATCTTAAGGACCACATGGCCTTTCCATCTGCCCTGAATCTGAACTCTGCTCTATGCGTTGTTTCCCCTAATAAGAATGAGAACTCCCTTAGCTCATGGGCTGTCTCATTTTTTCTATTTGTATTCCCAGAGCCTAGCACTTAATATACACTTTTCCATTCCATTGGGTATATTATGGCTTTACTGTGAAATCTCTAGGTTACAGTTTATGAGCACTTTCTTAACATAATTCCAAATTGCTTTCCAGAATGATTGCACCAATCCAGAGCTCTATACAATGCATCAATTAGTGTTCCTGTCTCTCTATAGCCCCTCTAATATTTAATACTCTCATTTTTTTTCCTGAGTAATCTTTGATGATTTGCTAGGTGTGAGCTGAATCCTCAAAGTCATTTTGATTTTCATTTATTATTAGTGACTTGGAGCCATCTTTTATATGGTTATTAGCAGTTCACATAGCTTTTGAAAACTTTCATATTCTTTGTTCTCTTATCTGATAGGGAATGGTTTTTGATGTTATAAGTTTGTATCAGTTTCTTATGTATTTTAGTTAGCTGACTTTTATCAGAGATGTTTGAATGAAGATCAAATCTATTACTTCTGTGCTTACCTTAGATACATTGATTTTGTTCTTGCAAAACTTAAAAAATTTTATGTTTAACAGAGCTTCAGGGGTTAGCCCCTAGGAACTATATGCACCATCACTTTCACTTTTCAGTCACCCCTCATGCCTGCTGCTTGACTCATTCTCATATTTAATCCCATCATTCTGAGTTGTAGAATAATTCAGGGGTATGTTTAGATATTTGCTTATTAGTTAATACAATTTCAACATGTTTTACAGCTTAAGCTCAGAGACCCACTTTAGGTCATCAAATGTTAAGTAACCTGGAGAAAACTTCTTTTCTGTAAGTAGTTATGCATATTTCTATATATTAAAATCCTGACTCTCAGGATTAAATAAATACAAATTAATAAATTAAATTAATAGCTTAATAATTGAACATGCAATTGATTAACAGCTCAATAAGTACCAAACAAAAACAATTGAGAGAAAGATGTCATTACAAACTGTATTACTATAACGGCAGATGTGTTCTCTTCACTTTTGGAAAAAGTCCAACAATGTTTTGTTCATTTGGCTTGCCAAAGAAAATCTGATTGCAAGAATTCTCTTCAACCTCTTCAAAAGATAAAGATTACACTAGTTTTGTAAAGAAAGAATATCCTTACATTTTCTCTGCCCTCTCCAACTTCTCTCCAGTCAGGACAAGAAGAAAAAAATCTCTCCCGCTTCTCTCTAGGCATCACTCTTAGACATCATATCTCTAGACTTGGTCTTTACAAAGTTCTCTTTATAATATCTCTTTATCAAAGAACAGTTGACAGTTTTTCCAAGAAAATTTTTCTTAACCTTTTTTTCTTTGCCGTTTGCATTGATTCTTTCTTCTTCAGTCAAACTGCCGAATCCTCCACAGTCTATTCCACCAGTCAATAAACATTTTTATGCACCTATGTGCAAGACAATGTGCTCAGCCCTGTGGATTCAAAAAGAGGCAAAAGATGGCCCCCACCCCCTCAAGGAGCTTATAGTTTAATGGAGGAGACAATGTGCAAACAAACATATGCAAAGCAGGCTATGTACAGGCTATATAGGAAATAATCAAGAGAAGGAAACCACTAGATTTAAGAGGGGTGGGGAAAGCTTTTGGTAAAAGATGGGATTCTAATGACTTCCACAGGGGAGATTCGAAAAAGAAGTTATAGGGTAGGTAGGTGGCCCAGTGGATAGGGCACTGGCCCTGGAGTCAGAAGGACCTGAGTTCAGATTTGACCTTAGACACATAACACTCACTAGCTGTGTGACCCTGGGCAAGTCACTCAACCCCAATTGCCCTCACAAAAAAAAAAAGTTACACATATAATCAAAACTATCTGTTTTTTAGTCCTTGTTTGGTTAAGAATTCCCCTCTAGTTCACTATGTGTGATATTTGATTTGTTTTCTTTCAGTTTTTTTTTAAGTAGTATGAACTTATGGTGTGTATGGTGTAAATTGTGGGTCTAAACCCAGTTTCTGTCAAACGTTGCCATTTTTCTCAGTAATTTTAGTCCATTTGTAAGTTCATCTCTAAGTGATCTGTAATCTTGAATTTATTGAACACTAGGTTAAATTAATTGATTATAAGTCATCATTACCTAGTCTGTTTTACTGATCTGCTTTTGTGGAGTTGGTGTTTTGTAAACCAGTACCAAAGAGTTTTGTTGACTATTGATTTACATAATTGGAGATTTGGAAGTGGTAGTCTCCCCTCTAGACTGCTTATTCATTCATGAATTTTGTTGTTTTATCTAGCTCTAGTGAGCATTCTTTTGGCATTTTAATTGGCATAACATTAAATCTGAAAGTTAATTTGGGTATATTTTTTATACTGTTTCAGCCTAGTCATTAGCATTGAACATACCTCCAGTTATTTAGATCATTCTTTATTTCTTTGAGGTGAGTTTTAATTGTAACTACGTAGTTTTTGAGTGTGCTTTGATAGTTTGACTTTCAGATATTTTATGTATTTTGTAATTATTTCAAATGAGACTTCCATTTTCTATTATTTTCTCCTGGGTTTAATTATTGCTATGTAGAAATGCTATTAATGAAGGTATTTTATTAGCTTAGTTTCTTTGCTGATTCTCCAGGATTTTCTACATAAACTGTGATGTCTTCAACAAATAGAGATAGTTTTATTGTTGACTACACATATAGCTTTAATTTCTTTTTAAACTGTTGCTGGCATCTCGAGAACTATATCAAATAACAACATGGAAGGCAGCATCCTTGCTTTGCTCCTATACTTATTAGGAAAACTTCTATTTCTCCATTTCATTTGATCCTAGCTTTTGGGTCTGGAGATATGCTTATTATCATTTTAAAAAAGCATTCTATGTTTACATTTTTGCAGCTTTTTAAAGCATAAATGATTATTAAAATTTTTATTTGCATCTGTTGATATAATTATGTAGGTTTAGAAGATTTTATGAGTTTAATGGTATTAATTATTTTCATAATGTTGACCCATGCTTGTTATATGTATTATAAATTCATTTTTATGAGAATGAATATTTTTTGGGTATTTTG